AAGTCCCTTTGTTTGTAACAGGTAATCTCGCGAACGGCTGGTCCGATTTTCATGAAAATTTGTATATAAACAGCTTTCAGAAACCACCATTGCTTTTTTCCTGTAGGTGGACCAGGGACAGATCTATTCGAAAAAATCTTATTATGGTCTGATTTGCTTAAAATTCGGTACGTAGGTACCGAGATTAGCATATAGGATCCTTTTTTACCGGGAAGTGAACCAGGGACCGATCTATTCGAAAAATTCGTGTTTATCGTCCGATTTGCTTGGAATTTGGTAGGTAGGTAGCTTTTTGCCCAGATTAGCATATTGGATCCTTTTTTCCGGTAAGTGGACCATGGACCGATCTATTTGAAAAAATTGTATTTATGGTCTGATTTGCGCAAAGTTTAGTACATAGGTAGCTTTTTACCGAGTTTAGCATATAAGATCCTTTTTTGCGGTAGGTTGACCAGGGACCGATCTATTCGAAAAAATCTTATTTATGGTCCGATTTGCTTGAAATTTGGCACGCAGGTAGCTTTTTGCCGAGATTAGCATATAACATCCTTTTGTCCGGTAAGTTGAGCAGGGACCGATGTATTCGAAAAAATATTCTTTATGAGCTGATTTGCTTGAAATTTGGCGCATGGGTAGCTTATTGCCCGGATTAACATATAGGATACTATACTTTTTTCTGATAGGTGGACCAAGGACTGATCTATTCGAAAAAATTTTACATATGGTCCGTTTTTCTTGAAATTCGGTACACGTATTATAGCTATACATACAATAGAATTGAATGATTGTTTTACAGTTGCAAAGGTGTTTTAAGGTGCCGCAAAGCAATCGGCTATTGGCTATTTACGTATACTTATTATCTATACCAATTATATAAAGAGAAGTCCCCTATTTTTATTAGAGGTGATCTCACAAATGGTTGTACCGATTTCTATGAAATTGTGGACACCTTATGGTTATAGGCTGATAATAATTTCATTATATCAAGGGAGCGTGGCATCTTCCATACAAATCGAATTTTTCATAACGCATATCTCTGGAAGTATTTTGGTAGAGTCCTGGAACTTGATATGGTATCAATCCTATACTCATGGAGAAAAGTGGGCGTGGCGCCTTCCAAACATACTGAAAGTTTTACCTATCTGTAAATACATATATAATTCTTGGGTACCTGTTTTTGTGAGTGATCTCCTCCTAAACGAGGTTAACAACTTAAAACACCACGATCCGATCTGGCTAATATTCAAAACATGTATTGGTAATATGAAGGGAAATATTTTTGAACCGATTTGCCTCATAATAAAGATATATAGGGGTAAGAGTAGTGGCAATAGTATTGCAAAAAAGATCCGCAAGGTTGCGCTGGGGTCGAGCTATTGCTAAAAATTTTCAATGGAAGTCATTCGGAGATACCAGGCATCAAAGTAGTCAAGTTACCACCGTTAAATCTACTACCATAACCATTGCGGTCCTTAATTTACTGTGACTAAACAGAATAAAGATAATTCTTGATGAATACCTACAAAAAAAAATGTAAGGACCAAATGTTTCAATAAAAAAATTAATTTTGGGCGGGACGAAGTTCGCCGGGTCAGCTAGTTATGCTAATAAAGTAAACAAAAGACTTAAGACACGAACTCTCCTTGCATATAAATTAAAAAATTGCTCTATAAATGGACAGTTCACCGTATTGATAAACGATCTGGAAGTTGAAATGATCAGCTTTCCTCTGGCTTAGAATTAACAATCGTGGTACGCACTGAAACCTCTCATTCTTAACGTTAAGTTCTTAAAACATTTGTTCTCGTTTTGTTCACTATCAGAATGCTTCCAAGACGTTTGTTCTTTTTTGATCCTAATTAAAAACGTTCTCGATACTTTCGTTCTTATTTTGTTCTCATTGTAAACGTTTCCGAAAGTTTCGTTCTCATTCTGTTGTTCTTGAGAACGTTCCCGAGAGTTTTGTTCGGATTTTGTTCTTTACGGAAACGTTGCCGAATCTTTTGTTCTCATTTTGTACACTTTCAAACTGCTCTCAATACTTATGCTCCCGTTTGGCTCTTTCGTGGGAACGTTTTTGTAATTACATTTTGCTCTCGTGCAGAACTGAATCAAAACTGGAACGCCTTCTCGGCTCCTGAATCTAATTGTTATATTTGGATTTGTGTTTTTTCGATCATATTATAACCGTTTTTTTCAGGCGGCCTCCATTATAACAGTTAAACATGAAAATAGCGATTAAATTTATCGAAAAACCAAAGTCTAAATTTAACGATTATTTTTTATCAAAACCAATTCAAAAAATTACGATTTGCAATGATCGATAAATTAAAATCTTTTAACCCAAATTTATAAAAATAAAGAAGACTTTAAATGCTTTGTAAATCCAAAATATGTATGAAAATGTCACTTTATAAAGCTTTTCAAAGCTACTTTATTTTTTATGAATTATTTATGCTATTTAACAGTTATTTTCGGTCCCTGACGTAAAGGCTTAGGTATATGCCTTTAAGCGCCGAAATTATTGTAACCATATAGTGAGAAAATCTGAAAATGAGTGAACATCCTAAATAAATGTAATTAAATTTATGGTAGTAAAGATTCATAAGTGGGTCGTATCTATAAAAACATCGAATCTAACTTTTTCATTTCAATTTATCAAATATATATAGCACATTACACATTAGGGTGGTCTTTAAAAATATTAACATCTAAATTTTGTATGCGAATGCAATGCAAATAGTCAAACAATTTCAAACTCTAAATGAAGGCACCGTAAATCAATTGTGGACAGGACATTGGACTTCATCCATCTTTAAGTTTTTGTGGCAGGCTGCGCGAGTTTTGCCGGACATTTGTTGAGATTTTCTCTCAAAGCTGCGAAATTTATTTTTTCTACTATCCGACGTTGAAAGAGTGTCTGCAATCCTATAAACTTTACGCGATGTGATGTTCCAAAGGTTTTAGATTGAATTCAGATTGTCAAGCAATCTTTTTCTATATCCCCTCTGAAGTTTTCCAAAAAGTTTTGGTCGCTAGTTACAAAATGGCGTTGCAAGTAATATTTCGTCAATCGTTTAATAATTACAAAGCACAGTATACCCTGCGCTTTGCATTCAGAATTTTTGCAAAAAAGATTTCGCGCTTCCACACTTTAATGGACGCCAGGTGATTTTTTTTCAATAAATTTCGGGTTCACTTTCACTATATACGAATATTAAATCAATTTTAAATATAAATTTTTTTCAGTGCTGTAATTTTTTTTATTATTTTTTCATTCTATATTTGTTTGTGAAACATATGAAACTCAATCACTTCCAAATGAATTGTTTTTATGTGCCAGGGCATACGGGAGGGCCATGAACCAACTACAAGATCATGCAATCGGAAAAGAATGAAAAACGTAAATTTCTGAGCGTTTTTGACATTTGCCTAAGAATGAAAACAAACAAAGAAAACGAAAAAGGCGCGGTGATCGAGTGGGATTATATTGGTATTTATTATAAAGTATACGAAGTGAAACTTGATGACAATTAGCAAAAAAAGTTCATAAAATGTGGTTTCCATGATTGAGAGTGTTTTACAATCGCATATCATCAGCACGGGTCGATTTTTCAATGCCAACGTTCTGGCCACAAACGTGCGCCCACTTTTCACGAAGATTTAGGCCTTTTGGCTTACCAAACAAACGTACAAACTTGTTCCAATCACATAGCACTTCATTTTATATCATAAATTTGTAATAAATTAAAATTAAAATTAAAATCGCTTATAAAACACATCAAATTGCTAAAAAAGCCACTCCGAAGCAATAGAAGACGATGAAAATGCTACGACAACTTTTTTTCTGAAATTCGATTACAACTACAACGATGACTGATCACGTGATATGGAGTCGTTGGTTCATGCGGAAGGGCGATCAATTTTTTATTTTTTTTGTTATATTTAAAGTGTAACTTTGTATATGTGCCTATACTTCAGGGCAAAACAAAAACAAATGTGCTTATGGAGTGAGCAGCTCTCGCTGAGTTATAGCTGGTAAAAGATAAAATTTGGTAGAATTTTTGGGATTTGTAAAAAAAATTGAACTTTTCAAATCCTGGTAGAGAAAATTATTATTTTTTTTTAATTTTTAAATTTTCGCGGATGCTCATGATGTTGATATTTTATAGACTACCCTAATATGTATACCTACATATACATCCATAATTGCACATATAGCTACGGTGACCATCCGTCCTGTATTATACGGGACAGTCCTCTTTTTTGACCCATTGTCCTCGTAATTTATTTATTTTATACGGGACGCCAAATGTTCTGTATTTCTTTTAATGACCTGTATTTGTCCCGTATTCGGTGTTTCGACGCCTTAAGAGCTCATTAAAATGGCATGCCTATGAACGAGTTTTAAGTGATGTTGGTATATGATCGTAATTTTCTCCATTAACAGTTATTATTTTCTAATCTGAATGCCTGTGATTCGAATCGAGGAATACATACAGTGACCAAAATAGAAATTTGGACTCGACATTTTAGTAAGCTTTGGCTATTTTTTCTTTAGAATCTTTAGAAAAAACTTATTAAGATTGAGTATAATAAAATGCGAGTGGAAAGTGCTGCTCATTTGCTTCTCTTTCAAAAAAATGGTCTAACATACCAGCTTTGCATGAAAAAAATCCATTACACCGTAAAAAAAATGCCAAAAATTAGTGGTAAGCCTTAGCGACTTAAAATTGCACTTTATTATACTAAAATTTAAAGAATTTTTAAAAAAAATTTTTTGGGGGTAAAAATCTCGAGAAAATTATCCTACAAGTTTGTGATGTTATTAAAAGGATACTGTTTCAGGGCTAATACATCTAGGATCATTGAAGAAGGCTTTAAGATCTGTAAGCTGTTGTGGAAAAAATTTGCAAAATTATTTTTTGTCCCGTATTCGTACTTATAGCACATATGTATACTCGTAATATTAAGCATTGAAATGGCGTTTATATACTTACTGTATGACTTCACGCTCAATCATCTTGCGTTCCGAAAGCTGTGTGCCACTGTTTATTTAATTTATTTCTTTTTCGAAGTTTTACACCAAAATGATTGATTAATATTGATTAACATATGTATTATACATACATACATACATACATTAATATGTTGATTACGAATATACTGTAAAAGGTGGTCAGCGGAGGTGCGCATTCACACGTGATTAACTTTTATATGGTTTCGTCTACCTGTGGTCTAACTATACGAAACAACACAAATATACATACATACATATGTACGCATAATATATTGACTGCATATGCCTATATACAAATAGATATATTTATTATTTTTATATTTCCTTGCCGGCATATGTCGGCTTTTATCCGCAAAAGCGCGTTCACTTTCGTTTGCACAAGCAGACAGAGGACCATTCGCAAATGCAATGCAATGCACAAAAACGGGTCGATAAGACCAAGTCAGCAATTATTGCAAGTGGTTATTGCAAAATGCGGCGGTGCTACTAACACGATTATGCTCTAGCAGTGCAGGAAAGACTGAGTAGATACATACATACATATGTAGTATATCGTTACCTAAAGGAGAAAAGGTGCTAAGTCCGTTTTTTGAAATTGTTCAGGACAGACAAAAACTATTCTTATCTGTAATTATCTGTCATTATGCATGCTTGAAAAATTCAAAATTGGATAAAAGGCGACTTAGCACCTTTTTATTTTACCTTTACGTAGCGATATGCATCTATGAGTGTAGTTATAAAAACAAAAAAATAAAAATTAACGCAATTTGCTATTAGTTCGACTATGGTTTGCGCGAATCAGCACTATTTTGGTGCATCCGATTTTAGACGTTTTTGAAAAAGGGGAAACGGGTGAGTAAGCGAATAAGTAGTGGCTAGACGAACCAAAACTTGTCCAAACACTATCCGGGCAATGCAGCATTCACTTCCCACTGGCTTCTATGTTGCCGTCGTAGAGTGGCGAATAAAGTTTCTGCCGGTGGTGTTGATGCAACAACTGGTTTTGCCGACGTGATGATTGTGTATGCATGTTGTAAGTAAATAAACGTTGCGGCCACTGTGCACCATTGCCACACTTTAATTATTCGTTCTTTTTTGTACTAAGTTATACGTGCGAGGCGAGCACATCGAGGGAGCTGTAAGCAAACTTCCTATAGATTTGTTTAGTTTCGTATTCGTGTTTGGTTTTAACAAAAAATGTGATTTGTGGATGTCGCAGACGTTGACTTTCGGGTATAAGTACCTTAAAGCCAAAAAAACTCCTTTTCAACACATACATACCTACTTACTTATGTTTGTTTGTAGATTCGTACCTAAAAAATATTGACGAATTAAAATGAGAAAATTTGAACAATAGTTCTGAACGCTGATACGATCCGCATTTAGAGTTGCTGCAAAGCATGTCACCCCAAGCCGGTTTGCTCATGAGGGTGGGAAGAAAAAGTGGAAATGTTGAAAACTTTTTTCCAAAGCCAGTGGGGAGCAGTGATGAGTACAAGGTGATTTTTGTTAAATATTTGCAAGGTTTTTAAAGTTAAAATTTATTTGTATTTTTTTTTTAATGATTCATGCTTTAACCAAAACCATACATATATCTCAAATTTTAAAACTTTATACTTAGAAAAATTTAACAAATTTTCTTTAAAATTTTGAGCTTTTTAATCTGCTTTTTAGAATTTTATTGGGTATGCAGTTTTGTAAATTTCGATTTTATTTAATTTTCCTTGCAAACGGTCTAGCGAATTTTTTTCCATAAGAAATTCATGCTTGTATGCAAAAAAGTGCAAAAAGCCGAAAAAATTGTCAAAAAACAACGCGATTTCGCAGCAGCTTAAAACATGCACTTTATTATACTAAAACTATTAGATTTACAAAAGTGCATACTTAAAAAATTCTGAAAAATCAGATTAAAAAGCTCATATTCTTAATAAAAATTTGTTAAATTTTTCTGAGCTCTGTATATAGTTTGAAGTTGAAGCTCAACCTTGTAATAAAAATTTGTTACATTTTTCTAAGCTCTGTATAAAGTTTGAAAGCTTGATTTATATGGTTTTGGTTAAAGCATGCACCATATTTTTACGAAAACATTAAAAAAAGAATTTAACTCTAAAAACCAGGCAAATATTTAACAAAAATCACCATGCTCTCATCACTGTTCCCCACTGTATATCTTAGGTGAAGACTTTTTTGGTACAACGGCTTGCTATAGTGCATATGACAACCCTAGTGGTCTTGGCCACTCTACGATAACACCGTGCGGTAAAAACAAAAAAAAAATTAAAAACTCACGAACCAAGCAATGTACTACATACACACGACACTATGGGCCAAATATAGTAAAACTACGTTTCTAAATTTTCACTCTGACATCAGGATGTTTTTGAAAATGACTTTGGCATTTTAAAAATATGATTAACTCAAAAAATTATTAAAAAAATAGGTGCAATGTAGTATAACAATATGGGTACCAAATGAAAGAAAAACTCTGTAGAATTTAAAAACATTAAAGGGTTTTGGTTTACAAGGGCCAATAGGTATTGAAAGTGCGCTTTTAATTAATTTTATTTTTTTAAGCAAAAAAAGTTAGGAGGACGAAATTAGAGGATGTGAGGGCGTGTATATTAGTGCTTAACATACATTTTTTCAAAAATAAATCTGGCAAAATTTCAAGGATATTCAAGGACAAAATATTAAAAGAACATTTTCCATAACCATTTGTCATTATGCACCAAAAAATTTAGTATTTTTTGATTCTACAGAATTTTTTCTTTTATTTGATACCCACATTGGTATTTACATTGCACTGGATTTTTAAAATAATTTTTTGAATTAATCATATATTTAAAAGTCAAAGCCCCTTGAAAAAAATCCTAATGCCAGAGCGAAAAACTAAACACGCAATTTTACTATATTTTGAATATAGCTTCGTAAATATATTGATTTTTGTGTGTGTAAAATTTACTGTCGTATGGTGTAATATTACACAGTTGTCTACCCTGCAGAAAAAATTATCAATTGATAAAAAATAACCAACTTGTAGTTAGCCATCTTGCGGGATTTCTATAAAATGTATAGGCTGTAGTAAACTACATAAAGCTAACTTGAAACTAACTGACAAGTAATGCATAGTAATCAGGGGATTGTTTTCTTAACACAAGTTTCTACATAGATATACTAATAAGAATTTTACTTTGAATCAATTTTCTTTCTGCACTTCACAAATACTTTTTCGAATTGAGGACAAATAAAAGGTATATCGAAATTTTATATTATCATTTTCAAGTTAAGTCTGACGCAGTTCGAATATGGGACCACCTAATATGTAAGCAAATAAGTAATGTAATAAAATAAAGTAAATAAATATAAAAGTAAAGAAACAAACAAAATATATTTTTTTCTGCTTGATATTTTATGTCCAAAAGTAGTTAGGTACAAGTTAGTAGACATACATTATAACGCAGAGGTCACGAGCCTTGACTATTTCGCGGCCATCGCCATAGAAATATAGTTAGCTTTCCTCAAAGAAAATATACAGATAATAAAGACCTTCAGTTTCTTCCTAATCAACTTCAAGTCAACTTAAAGTTAGATAAATTTAAAGGTGGGCATGTTATTAGTCCACCTAAAAAGACAGCCACGGATTCTAGTAAAAAAAATCCTTCATCCCAGTCCTTGGAACTTATTAATTTATCTTCTCCATGCCCTCAGGCATTGGATCCTCCGATATCTAAAGCCATATCCTCCACTGTCTAACTTAGTTCCTCCGAATAATTCGGAGCCCCGCACATCAGACATCATTACCAAAAAGTAGGTTGTAATTCCTCCGAGAAGATCAATCTTTGTCTCTAGATTTGCTAAAGATACTTCTTCGGATGATATAAAGTCATACATATGGACTAAAATTAGAACTAAAGATGTATTTATTCGTAAATTTAATTTTAAATACGATCGCGATATTTCATCTTTTAAAATTGATGTAGCTTCCGAAGATTTTGATTCACTACTAAATAGTTCATTTTGGCCGACCGGGGCGTTTGTTCGCGAGTTTGAGTATAAACCTAATAAAAGTAATAATAACGTAGCTAAAATTTCTAATCTTAATTCGGATTCAAAAAACTAACTCGCAAGTCTAATTTAAGTATTTACTATCAAAACGTTAGAGGTTCGAATACCAAATTAACTGACTTATATTTAAAAGGTTTTGACTGCTATTATAATATTATTTCCTTGACCGAAACATGGCTCAAACCTCATATTTTTAATTCCGAAATTCCTCCAAATGAATATCAAATATACAGGAGTGACCGCGTGGGCAGAATCGGCAGTGGTGTTCTTTTTGCGGTGCATTCATCGATACCATCCGAGGAAGTTAGTCTTCCTGTCATTGAATATACCGAATTTAAATGTATACGTGTACAAGCTCTGTATTTAGCTGTGTATTTAGCTCTTTGCTACTTCCCTCCTAATTCTGTCGTATCAGTATATATGCAGCTAGTTTCTTTACTTGAGACCGTAAATGCAATGCTTACGGCATCCGATTCTATGATTGTTTTAGGCGATTTAAATCTGCCACATATTTCATGGAACATCATTGACACCGATGTTGTACCAGTTTCATCTAGAGATAGTTACAATGTATTTCTGGAGGAAATGACTGAACTTTGCCTCAAACAAATAAATATATGTCCAAATAAGTTTGGAAAGGTCTTGGATCTCGTTTACGTTGATGATGTTCCGAAGGCCTCTATTAATCGGTGTGATCCCCTAGTTTTGCCGGAGGATGCATACCATCCTGATCTTGAGTTAAGCTACGAAATCATAAATGAAATACATAATAATAAGTCAAGTTCAAGTACTAGATATGTTTTTGCGAAAGCAAATTTCAGGAAAATTAACAAAGAACTTTCAAAGTTATCTTGGCCAATATATAGAGATGACATGGAGCGTAGCGTTGAGCACTTTAATGATACTGTTTTCAATTTGTTTCGAAAGTATGTGCCAATACGTAATATTGTTCATGAAGAACTAATACAATTATGGTTCACTAAAGAGCTTAAAAAATTGAAAAATAAAAAGTCGCACTCTTTTAAACTGTATAAAAGAACGGGCTTACACAGTGATTACCAAAGGTACTCAGTTTTGCAGC